AAAAAAATTCTTGAAAATGTCGCTGTCTAGTCCTCCCTGATGATTAACTTCTTCCTCAAGTATTTCCATTTCACTAAAATTTAAGACGCTTCTCGTGCTCGATGAGTCTGTCATTGTCCTTCTTTTTAAGAAACCATACTTTGAAGATCCTCTGTGAGGAGCAGCTTTAAACTTGACTTCTTTCTACTCTTTTGCGTTTATCCACCCGGCATTCATCATTTCATTAGAGCATCATTACCATTTCTTTTAGACTGAATGACCAGTGAACTAAGCAAACACCTTATCCCCGAGTCGATAAATTGTTGGATGGAAAATATTATTGCAATTTTTGTGCCCAGTTGATGCGTTAAAAAAGATTTTAAGAGATCGAAAAAAGCGAGAAGATGGTTGTTTTTGACGTTGATGGAAAAGTAGAAAACGAAAAGAAACAAGTGGTACTGAAGCAGGAAAAAGTGGAACATCAACAGACTTTGTCCAAGCGTTGGACACGTGATGAGGATCGAGAAACCTGGACCCGGAAAGTGGATTTTCTATTATCAGTCGTCGGTTTCGCTGTCGATTTGGCCAATGTTTGGCGTTTTCCATATCTGTGTTTCAAAAATGGTGGAGGTTGGCAAAAATCATTTTTTTTATGACTTACTTTTTTTCTTCACTGGTGGTGAATTGGATTTGACGTATCCTATATGCCGCCTTGCTGCCCATCTGACGAAAATACGATAGGTGCTTTCTAAGCATTGAAGCACCGAAAGTTTTGCGAAAATAACATACATTGTCGCTTAAACTGTCACATCGACTTCTCGATGACCACCCAAAACAAAGTATGAAAGTTCCTTGATGACGGAGTTCTCTCTGTCTAATGAATAATTGAATTGCGTCATTCTAGGAGCTTTTTTGATACCATACACACTAATGGTAGTTCTTGCTGGTATACCGTTATTTTATATGGAACTATCTCTTGGTCAGTACTACAAAAAAGGTGCAATCACTACATGGGGATGGATTTGTCCGCTATTTAAAGGTCATTTGTCTGCTTTATAAAAACACCAAAAGTTCTACACCATTCTGAAGAGTTTATTGGATAAGGCCCAATAAATCAAAAAAATAAGCAGCTAGTTTTTAGAACTCTATTAATCAGGCCTACTTTTGTAGGTTCTTTAAAAATTACATTCTCATTTACTGCTTTCGTTCTGAAATAAGAACACTAAGCAAACTTTTTTTTGCGCTTTCTGTGTCTCTCATTACACAAGCAGTAACAGGAAAAAGTGATTTTTAACTTACTTTTACAGTTATCTTAAGAATGTCTTTGACCAGAACTTCTAAAAACTTACTTACGGCAGATGAAGAATTGCATTTGTAAAGCCGAGTCTCATTTGCTCACAAGTTTGGCTAATTTGCTCATTTTGTACAAGTTTTGCTGGTTTTTTTTTTCAAGAATTTATTAGATCGCTGATTTCCCTGCGAAAGAAAACAAGGGAAAAAATTCGAAAGTCAAAATGCAAAAAATTGTTAGAAAATCAATACTATAACAAAAAAATCTTGATAGATTGACAAACGCGGGGTTCTGCTAAGAAAAGCGCTACGATATTTTTCCGAATGTGCTCCTTGATTTAAACTTTTTCGTCCCAGAATGCGCAACGGGTTCCTCTTCTCTTTTTTCTTCCATCCCCCTTTCCCTTCTAACTTTCCTTTCTCCTCCTCCCGCCATCACATTTTAGTTTTTGATATTTTATTTCACAAAAAATTCCCAAATCGTAATTTATTTTGTGAAGAAATTTTGCTATTGCTACAGATTTTAATAAAAATCAGAAACCCCATAACAATAAGTAGTTAAGCTTCTGTTTTCTAATGTCCTGTAAAGCGCGGAATTTTTTTTTGCAGTTCTTTTGTTCTTCAGGCATAGGATATTGTGTGATACTGATAGCGTTTTATACGGATTTCTTTTACAATGTTATAATTGCATGGGCGTTGCATTTTTTCCTGGCATCTTTTACCACCGAATTGCCGTGGGCCTCATGCTCCAACGATTACAACAGCATCGCTTGCTACGAGCCAAGGGGAGACGTTTGTTGACTTTTACTCTACAAACTTAACTCATAATAAATTGTTGGAACACGAAGAGACTATTACAAAGTTGTACAATGGTCAGGAAGACAGCTTGGGCTGTCAGTTCGGGTATCCCTGTTAGTGATATTGCTAGAATGCTTCCACAGGCCAAGCGAAGCTGTGCCAGACCATTTGATCCTGGACAGCATATCCTGAGACAGTACCCCTCACCTGTTCAGTTACGTGCGTTATCTCTTTCTTCGCTAGCCATCTGGCTGGTCATGTGCTTTCTCGCAGGCACCACTAACTAAGACGCAATACACAGCCACTGTAAGCAAAGCAAACAATCGGATTTATTTTTTTACAAGTTCGCAGTGAAATCCTGCGCGCCACTCATTTGGTAAAGAATCTAATCCCAAATACAACCACAACGAGAAGCTTTGAGCATCATTTGCTCCACTGGCTTTTTTCGTCAAGGACTATGGTACCGGAGAGGTAGGCGCCGTTTTTCTGCCTCGAACCTTCAGTGATGCTCTGATGCCATTCTACATGAAGTATCCGGTGGAAATTAATTTCTAGATAAAATAGGTATGGCTATTAAATTCTGCACCAGCTCTGACTTCAGCTTAAAATTGCTATTTAAACTGTAAAGAAAACTGGTGTATGCTGCAGAAATATAGTCGCCCTATAAACTCAGTGGGTATGCTTCCAGCTATTGTGTTTGGTACCTTATCAGGTTATGTCTCATTTATTCAAAAGCGGTCAGCTTACTTTCTGTGAGCATACAGTGCATTTGAGACAATAAATTATGTCTCTTATAATTCACAACCAAAAACACTTCATAATTTATAATCAAATTCGTATGTGAACTCTTAAAAAAATTCATCTTCACTGCAATTGTTTTTTGAGCCTAGCGAACACTGCCAGAGTAAAAGTATGAGTTCGACAGTACAAGCTACTGCATCAATTGCGGGGTGAACCTGAGAATTTGGACCTAGCTAGCATCACATCAGGCTTGTTGTTCATACGTTTCTGTAAGATTCCACAATCCCATTCCATACCTAGACGAAAGCTCATTTTATGTTTGTTAACCCGCACACGAACAGCAAACACCTGCAGAAAAATACAGATTCCTGCTGAATCTGGTCGCCGAAATAACTGGATGCCAACAGTCTCTTGAACTAAACATTCAGTTGCTTGCACGGCAAAACTAGGCGTGCTTTAAAGCTGAATTTGAAATATTTAGGTAGCAGATTGGCATAGAATATCCTCGAAAGATTTCAATTCCCTAGTATGACCGGTTGTTGAAATTGCTTTTCACTCTAAATATCATTGATGTTTCAAATACAAGAGACAGACAAGCGCCAAAGTTCGTTTTGTGTGTACATGTCCATGTATGGAAAACAAATATTCTCGTAAAATTAGAAGGTTCTAATCAGCTTAGTCCCCTAATTGGAATTCTGCCAACGACGTCTCGGCCTCATCTTTTTGTGCTTTTGTGTGAGTGATTTGGTTGTGTTAAAGCTGAATTTGAAGACCTTAGTTTAGACAAGTACAGAGAATATCCTTTTAAAATTCCAGTTTCTTAGCTTGTCTGTTTCCCGAAATCATTTTCCCGCTAAAGAATTCACATTTTCTCTTTTATGCATCCGGCTTGC